TGCTGCGTTTCTTCGAGATCGTGTCTCCCCGCGAACGTGCGAAAACACAATTATTGGAATTGAGGGTACCATGTCGTCGTGGATCGAATTTGTTCTTCTAATGCAATTTGCCAAATGCACGGCGTCGTTTGCAACTGGCAAAGCGCGTTCAATTACCACGGCAAACAAGATCGTACCCTTCTTCCTTAATTTCACTCTATTCATTCGTGGATATCTGGTGAGAAAGGTTTCTTAAATCGCAAACGTAGTCTTCGGATCGCAGTTGAAAAGGAAATGTGATTCTTCCAGGAAATTCTTCTTTGGAAAAATTTCCCAGTTTGGAGCATTTGTCACTAGTAGATCGTTTGATCGATTGGACTGTTTGGAAGATTGATGGTCTGGATCTTGGAAAAGAGATCGAGAGGATTTTCGATCACTCGACACGTGAAACCGAGATATAGCACAACGAGCAACAGGTCTACGTTATTTTTACGCTCTTTAAGAAAGTAGATTTTTTTTGTATTTTACGCTGTGTATCTTTCGCCTGTATTCCTCGTATCTCTGCTTTGTTTTAATAATGCCACAATTCAAGAAATATAAACTTTAAAGAAGAAGTGTTTCGAAATTTATAAAGACATTTTCCTGAACTATAGCCGTACTATCGTATGTTATCGTATAGTTGTAAGGCCAAATTGATAACGATATATGAAATAATTTTGCCCTCTGACGTGAAGCATTATAAATATGCTGCTTTACATGATAGAACATGGTAAAAAAATTCTGTAAACTTTGTATGCAATAAAAGCAAATGCGAAAGTTTTTGAGTTGCCCCGCCATAAAAGCAAAGCAACTATACGAAATCCAAAATATGGTAGACGAAGTCAAGAATATGAATTTGCATAAAAATCAGCGGTCTAATCAATCTAACACGTTCCAGGACATAAATCGGTACATAGCATTATTCACATTCTATTCTTCCATCACGCACAATATACTATATACAATATACAATAATTGCAATATATTTAATATAATTAATGATAATACAATAATACATATTATACCAAACGCTTCTTGAAACGGACAATTCATCCACGATGGTCATGGCCTCGTGCAAGGAGGATCTATTCTTTACTACCTGTTAATGATTCCATCTGGCAAACGTTTCCTTCACGATCGAATAACACATGTATCTCCATCAAACGAGAACGTGACTGTTGATTCATCTGGACTCATAAGTCATATACGGTTTACAATAAATTTGAAAATTTTCGCGTCGCCTCGAGGAAGAACAGTATTCGATTGGCTACTTTGCAAATCGCCTAAACTATGACCATCTGCCGTCCTAATTACACGCTTAATCATCAATAGTTACAATAAAGATCATAACGTGAATAATCATTCCGGGCAACGGACGTTTAGATTCCTGATTCTCGATTTGCTTTCCAAGATCGAGTCTCCTTTAATTTGTGGATAAAGTTATTTTTATTATTGATAGATCTATAAACTTAACAAACTTAGATAGATAGATTTGAAACTTAACAAATTTCGGAACTTGAGAATTTGAAAATTTTCAATTTTGAGAAAATAAAACTTAAAAGCTTACGGTCTTGGAAATTTGAAACTTGGATGTCTTTTATTTGGAATATGATGGCTGCCACTTATATTTAAGCTACACAATGGTGGATACATGCTGCCATCTTTCGACAGTCATTAGAATATCGTAGCATTTTCCCATACGACGCCATCAATAGCATCGTAACAATACTTGCAGCACGTGCGGTATAGATTTAACCTCTCTCTATCGTTGTGAATAAAAAAAGAAATATCTGTCTTGATAAATTTCGTATCTTTCTAGTATATATTACTCAAAAATTAGGTAGGAGAAGATGGGTAAATTGAGATTGTGGTTAAATAGCCGGAAAAATGCGAAACGTTGACCGAAGGGTCAGAGCTCCAGCTCTAATCTACAAACTAAAAAGCATCGGGAACAGTCATCCTGGATGTTCTTCAAAGATTCAACAGGTATAAACTTACAAATATCAATGATTAGAATTTTTTATGAATTTTCTTTTGTCTTTGATATTATATTAAATTTTGTAATTCCCTTAGCCTCTGCGAAGCCTGGTATAACAGAGGAAAGTTTAGAAAAACACAATGCTATTCAAGGGGTTGAATCACAGGTAGAAACACCTGATAACAAAGGCCTAATAGCAAAGATAACTCTTGGGAAACATGTACAGAAAACACTGCTGATACTTTTGCTACCAATTGTTCAAATATATCATTTAGTAGGTTAGTGCATAATCGTACTTAAATCAAACTTAGTTTTAAATATCAGCGATATGTATTCGAAGATATTATTAAATGATTATTATTGAGCGATTAATTGAATATTATTGTATAATGATTTTACAGGTTCTTACATCATTTTCAATCGAAATCACTGTTGCATAAGGAAATGTTAGCTGTATTGTCCGCTGTAACGGAGATTATAAAACAGCATGGTGGTAATGAATCTAGCACAGAATATTTTGCTGCATTGGTATGTATTACAAAACACTTTTTAACCCTTTGCAGACGGGGCTGTTCTACGAGCGGATGTCGCTGCGGACAAGAGGTAATGGCACACACAATTGAGAAAATATACACGTTGAACGATTGCATTGTTGATGGTTCATCATCGCCGTGATTATCACTAGAAATATTGAAATGTCCGAGCTATGTCCCTATTGGACAGAGTTCATTTCCACTGTCTGAAGCACTGTTGTTGTCTTCTATCTTGCCAGGTTCAAAATAATATTCGTCATCACTACTGTCACTATCAAACCTCTTCTGAATCTTTTAGGCATTGTGTACATATAAGGAATTATAAAAAATATATAAAATTTATGAAAAGCTTGTCGATTCGTCTGGTAATGCCATTGAAAGACTGAAATTTGTTCTCACTCAGCCATCATTCTGCATCGCGAGTTTATGTTAAATGGTACATAAGATTTCTAAAGATCTATAGTTTTCTCCCATCAAAAACATAACACTGTTTAGTTTACTATATCCATGCGTAAGTACGCATGAGATTATCGCTCAGAAAAATAGACGTACGTCAGATATCTCAAAATAAGTACCCGGAACTGTGAACAGACTCTGGCGGCTATATGCCGATACTCGTTCGCAAAGGGTTAAGGAAGGTATGGACAAACTAATTATAAATATTAATATCTTAGATGAGCACGTTGGAAGCGATTGAATCGGATATTAATATTTCGACATGTAAATCGTTTTTCATTCTATTTCTTTATATGATTTTAAATATTACACCAAGGCATACTATCTATATTTTTCATTTTTCACAGTGTATTCATTGTTTATCTTTGCTCCTTCGAGCACAAGAAGCAGCCACATGGTCTAGTTCATCTACGATGCAAGTGTTGGATGTCATTTTATCGTTTAGTATACACTATAAACACAAATTAAGACAATCGGCACAACATGGAATATGTACCATATTAAACGGTAGCACGAATTTGAATAAAGAAATTATTCAAATAAATTGGACAATTTTTGATAAACTTTAATATTACAATGTTAATAATTATAGGAGGTGATATCATGAAAGGTGAAAACCCACCGCAATATCAGCCAGCTACTCCATGCATTGCAAAATTCTGTATTGGTCAACTTGACTCCGAGTCCGATGGTATTACAAATGTTCTTCATGTCCTTACACTACTAAAAGACATTTTCCATCATTTACCAAAGATTCATGTGAAGGTATTTGTCAACATTTGTTAAGGAAATACATATATTTATATTATACAATTACGAACTTTTGTTTTCCAGACTATCAGTGAATCTTTATTGAAGCTTATGACTATGAAAAATGTGTTAGTAACTTCATGTTGTTTACAAACCTTTCATGGTTTGTTCGTTTCTCGACCATCAGAAGCTATTTTACCAGTACAAAGAAATGGGCAAATCATTACTGCTTTATATGATTATCAACCTCCAGCAACTGATACACAACCAACCTTAGCGTGGCTAACTGTAATGCAAGAAGCGTATTTAAATTTAGCACAGTAAAGAAATTTTTATATTTAAACTCCTTATATCCAATTTTATTGGAGAGATAGTAATTGCTGAATATATTTTTCCTTTATAGCAATTCATTAAATTTGTGTGCAGTTCTTTTACCAAGAATTTTGGATAAATGCATGGAATTGTGGCTTTCGGACAAATCGGAAGTTATATCTGGTTCTTCGCACACGATAAAAATTTTATTACAAGATTGTGTCGGTAAAATGTGTGAAACCGAAGAATCAATGAAAACGTAAGATTAGATTTAATTATTATTCTTCGTATCTATAATTTATATTTCATCATTTATATCATACTTTTAGATATAAGGACACGATCAATCAGATAACTTTTATGATCCATCAAGCATTAGGTTATCAATATTTGGAAGCTTGGTATCATATTCTTCATTTAATAGCCTTACTATTTCAGGTAATATCGATTTTCTGCTTCTTACCCTTTTGTCAATGTTGTACAATTCAACGTTCCCTTTTATTACAGGTAACTGGTAAAGCGAGAAGTCCGCAATTAATAGAGATATTAAAAAGTCTTGCTGAGTTACGTGATTCTTATAATTTTGCGTCGAAAAATGACGCTGAGTATGCTATTGGAGCTGCTTATTATCTCAACGGAAGTCAGGGGATCGATCAATTCGTGGTGTCGATTGTTACAATCGTAACGGGGATTTACGACCCCCGTTGACGTCTCTCTTAGCGACAACGTCTCCCCGCGATTTGTCGAAATTTACAAAATGTATTTTTCCTTTATAGCAATTCATTAAATTTATGCGCAGTTTTTTTACCAAGAATTTTGGACAGATGCAGTCAATTGTGGCTTTCGGGCAAATCGGAAGTTATATTTGGTTCTTCGCACACGATAAAAATTTTATTACAAGATTGTGTCGGTAAAATATGTGAAACCGAAAAATCAATAAAAACGTAAGATTAGATTTAATTATTATTCTTCGTATCTATAATTTATATCTCATCATTTATATCATACTTTTAAATATAAGGACACTATCAATCAGATAACTTTTATGATCCATCAAGCATTAGGTTATCAATATTTGGAAGCTTGGTATCATATTCTTCATTTAATAGCCTTACTATTTCAGGTAATATCGATTTTCTGCTTCTTACCCTTTTGTCAATGTTGTACAATTCAACGTTCCCTTTTATTACAGGTAACTGGTAAAGCGAGAAGACCGCAATTAATAGGAATATTAAAAAGTCTAGCGGAGTTATGTGATTCTTCCAATTTTGTTTGTATAAATGATGCTGAGTATCGGAGTTATGTGATTCTTCCAATTTTGTTTGTATAAATGATGCTGAGTATGCTATTGGAGCTGCGATAAGAGTGCTAGGACCGGAGACAGTATTAAATTTGATTCCATTGAAAGCAAGTAATTCTATATGAACCGGACTATGCTTAGAAACAAAAACTTTATTTTATAACTACAGTAATATAAATCTCTATTCTATAGGTATCGGACAATGCAATTAATTTAAAAAGAACTTGGTTACTACCATTATTGAAAGATTGTGTGCTAGGTGGGTCACTTACTTTCTTCACGGAAACATTGCTACCTATCGTTGCATTGTGCGAGTAAGTATTTTAATCTATCTTTATCATAAGAGTATAAATTATCTTATATTGATATTTTTAGTGATAATTATACTCTTATTTTATATTGATATTTTTAATGATAATTATACCTAATTTTAGGAAAAAAGCAACCGAACCTGTAGGCGGGAAAACTTACGAATTTCTCGTTTGCCAAGTCTGGGCTATTTTACCAAGTATGTGCAACAACGCTACTGATGTGAAAGATAATTTCAATATCTTTATTATAAGAGTATAAATTATTTTATATTGATATTTTTAATGATAATTATACCTAATTTTAGGAAAAAAGCAACCGAACCTGTAGGCGGGAAAACTTACGAATTTCTCGTTTGCCAAGTCTGCGCTATTTTACCAAGTATATGCAACAACGCTACCGATGTGAAAGATAATTTCAAGGTATATATCAGAGATAAATATAAAAGATATAGTATCAAGTGTCCATGAGATAACTTTTATCTTGTTTAGAATATAGCTAAACTGTTAGGAACAAATTTAAATGAGAGAAAGAATTTAAGGATGTCGATAATGTCTGCCTTACGAAGATTAATAACGAAAGCACTCGAAGACGACAAAAAAGAAGATATACACGAACTAGCTAGATTTGCAAAGAATTATTTACCATTGTTTTTAAATCTATACACTACTAAGCCACTTGGAACTGACGAAGAAGGACAACGCTTTGCTACATATGATACAATAAGAGTAATTTGTGCATAGAAGGAGTAATTTTCTTTAAAGAGATTAACTAATATTTTGTACAATTACAGGTGTATCTTACAATTGCGGATAAGGAATTGGTACACGAATTATTCGATCGTGCGTTATTTAAGTTGAAAGAACCTGATATCGACGATTTTTTCAAAGAAAGTATTCACGATATAATAAGATTATTTATTAATTATACTAACATTAATAGATTAAAGACGTTTTACGATATGTGTGTACCACTTTTTATAGAAATTTCTGAAACCAAGGAACAGAAGAAAGCGTATAGGTAACTTTTTAATATATTTGGAATTAAATATTTTAATTATCTTCTCTGCAAAAACAAAAGTTATTTCTTACTTGTATGTTCTTTCAGGTTTTTAGAAGAGATATGTGGCAGTGAGAAGGAAACGTGTAAAGAGTTTGTAGTTCAATACAGACGCGAGATACAAAAATTATTAATATCCTCGGCTACTGAAGTCGCAAAGCCAAGCAGAGGAGTAAGTGCTAACTTACAAACGTTGTTCTATAACATCAATTTCTTATGAAAATTTTAACAAATAAGCCTTACTCATTTTTTTAATTAGGCGCGATTAAGATGCTTAATTCATCTGATCAAAATTCACCCACAACTTGAGAAAACTAAGTTCTTAGAAGCTATTGTGCCCGAAGCAGTAATCTATTTAAAAGATTTAAATACGAAATGTCGAACTTCTGCGTATTAACTTTTAAACACTATTGCCGAGAAATTTTTAGGAAATCCTACACATCTTAAAGATTATGTTAATATGCTCATGGTTGGTTTGAGTGGATAGAAAATATACAAAAGTATTGTACCGCATCCTTGCTGGCACTTTCTTCTATCACTTATCATTACAACGGTACAATTTATTTCAAACTAAAGTTAAAATAAATATTTCGTATAAAAATAAATAATAGCATATTAAAAATATTACAACAGGATCTTTAGGTATAGAGACGGTTAAAGAAATCTTGGGACAAGCTTGTATTTTTGTTACAAGTTCCACAAGAGAAATTGCAGAAGCTGCATTGGCATATATCAAAGTATATATTACTGTGATGCCATCTCATATTGCTGCTTCGAATTTAAAATTGTTGGTTAGTAACAATTAATAAGAATAAAAGGTTAGTAACAAAATTCCATATAGCTCAATAAAGAAACGAATTAATAAATTTGCAGATAGACGCTTTATGCACAATGAACGATGGCTGCCATAGGCATTTCAGACAAAACGTACGAGATATTCTCGTAAATATTAATAAGAAAATACAGAATGGAAACAATTTCTGGCATGATTCCAGCTTCTAATGCGACGTTACATAAGAGATTAAAAAATATGAATAAGGCAGAAGAAGCGAAGAAAAAGAGAAAAGAATTGAGGAAATTGAAAAAACAAGAAAATGACGAGGATACTGAATTCAATACAAAGAGAAAACCTAAAAGGTAACTTTGCATTTTACTTTAAACGAAATTTTTCTTAAACAGAAACAACTGTATAATCTTTATTAAAATTTAGTATGGAAGAAATATTGGCAGATAGCGATGATGAGTTCGATGAAGATATGGACAATGAAGAGTCAAGGAAAAGGAAGAAAAGAAAATCGCAAAAGGAAGCCTGGATTCATGAAAATGAAGAGATCGTTGATCTCGTTGATCCTGCGGCTGCTCGAAACATATCAAATAAGTCTAGATATTTTTCAAAATTCGATTAGTCGAAGTTGGAATTAAATTTACAAAATAATTTCTGAGCAACGCAACCTACAGTCGCAAATTCAGAAATAGCGGCTATAAAACGGAAAGGTCGTGAATTTAAGACTACGTCTGATGGCCGTCTTATTATCACAGTAGATTAATGAGAAAGGTAATGAACTAGAACCCAAAAGAAAGAAGAAATCTGCACTTTTGTTGCACAGTCATTCAGAAGACGATTATGGTCAGTAATTCGGAAGACGATTATGGTCAGAATTGGGGTTACATTTGGGATTAGGAATTGTAGAAAAATGTAAAGTAATTCAATGAAACAAGTGAACGAAGCCAATGAATTTTTATGTTACATGATCAGAAGATGATGTTCAGTCTGTAGCCATGTCGCAAGCAATGGATAAAAACGTAAATATAACGATAGTTATGATAACGTTAGCGTAAGGAGTGGATCCACATTGAAGTATCAAGGTATAATAGTAATATATTATCTATAGTAAATTTTGGTCTGTTGTTTAATAACAATTTTGGTATCCATAGGAGAAGGATCTGGAATATATCGACCATTGAAAAAATCAAGAACAGAATGTATACCAGGAGCAAAATATAAAGCATCAAAGGCTGGAACTGATGTTAAACGGAAAGGAAAACCAGATCCATATGCTTATGTACCTCTGTCAAGAGCAGCATTAAACAAAAGGTAAACCATGAATTTTGTTTTAAATTGAAGATACGCATTGAATTGATTCATTTTTATCTTTAGAAAAAAGAAGAAATATGCGAGTAAATTTCGCGAGTAAAGGAGCGAAGAAAGGTGGGAAAATTGGAATGAAGCAAAGGAAAAACTAAAGTATAATATACCATAAAAAAATTTTCAAAAACAATGCTTTTGTATGAGTCTTTAATTATGATTAGGTTTCACTGGCTATAAATTTATAAATGTATATAATGGCTATAAATGGCTATAAATGTATAAAATACATGATATAAAGATGTACAAGGAATGACATTGAATTAAAAATCTGTGACGATTTATAACATATGTGGATTAATATTAACAGATAAACACTTGAGAAATTGACATATTGTTTGAAAACAAAGTGACTTTGTTATAAAGCAAAAGTATTCCTATATTACTATTCATTTGGCTTGTGCAATCTGTTGACTACATATTAACGCTTACAAAAAGATCTTATTACGCAGATGGTTTAATTTATTGTATATTTCCATAGAAAAAATATTGAAATCCTTACAACTGATACAAAATAACTTACAAATAATTATATTAATATAGGGACTGGTCTTTTTTTGGAAGAAATTAATTATATGATCCTTAATTATATCCTAGAATTAATTAGATCCTATAATCTAATGATCCTCTTAAGCTAAAAGTGTATAATTATTTATGTAAACAGAAACTCGCGTTTCTTTTGCATTAGCTCTTTCTGGGCAACATTCTTTCCAGCTCTCCAGATTCGTTCATTTTTTTTTACAATATCCAATCCTCCAATGAGTTCTCCATTCACATATAATTAAGGATACGTTGGCCAATCACTAAATTTGTTAAGTCCTTCTCTAACATCATTATCTTGTAAAATATCAAACGTTTGGTAATCTGTCTTACAAGAGTCTAAAATAGAGACTATTGTTCTTTTTTTTTATATTTACGCGGAGGAAATCCGCACGGACGCCAGGCCGCTTCTGGGGGAAGCGCCGTGGTAGTGTCGGACTCCAACCGACTAAAACCTTCACGATAACCGT